GAAGGCAATCCAGAATCGTTTAAAGCAAAGCTCTGAGAGAATGTGAAGGGCAGACAGAGGGAAGCATATTTCACTTGATGATCAAAATAATTCCCAGAGCTGTATAAAATCACCCCCCTCCCCCCTTCACATCCAGGGGAGAGGAAACAGATGCAGATGAAGGTCAAAGGAGATCTGTCTGTGTGGTAATAATAAAGATCATTATCATCAGGGTAGAAGTCTTCACAGTCACAAGTCTTAACCACAAGGTTAAGGCGTAATGACTTTTATATGAGGATAAAAGTATAATAAAATTCTAAGAGGGAGCACATTACTCTGACACCTAAATCCCTTTGCTACAGTATGTAGCTTTGATTAAAATAAAGAAGATATTTCTGTACTTATTTTACTTGGATTCTAATTTGGTCTCTTAATTTTAAGCTTTTTATCTTCTATTTTTTTCTTTATTTGGTCTTTAAAGCACCTCTTTTTACTGATAGCTGGAGTCAAACCATAGTAATAAAGCTCAAACCCTTGCAGTTAATTTTTACTATCTGCATACACAGTGGGGCCAAAAAGTATTTAGTCATCCACTGATTGTTTAAAGTCTCCTCCTTCCATCAGTGAGAGCATTGAGGATTGAACTAGGCTGGGTTTCCAGCTGGAAAAGCTCAGACAACATAGGACAGGCTCTGTTAAAAGAATATTTCAAGGTCCTAAAGTGGCCCAGTCTACACACTGAAGGGAGTTGAACATCTGTGTTACCTGGCGCCAGTCTCCAAACTCCACTGCTCTAGAGATCTGATGGAGAAATTGACCAAAATACACGCTGCAGTGTGAGCAAACCCGGTGAAGACTGACTGGAAATGTTTGCCTTCTAACACCAACAAAGGTTAGCAGTACAGTCTGAACATCGGTATCAACTAGCATTTATTTTAGCAATAAAAAACAATTAAACTTTGCTCTTTCCTCAACTTCAATCAGAATATCATCTGCATAAGAGCCACTATTTCAGATATCTACAGATCAGGATGTTTGTTTGTTTTTTAAAATAGCAAACATAAAATCGGGAGCATTTGATTCACTCTTTAAGTACAGAAGGGAACTTCATTTAATATTTTACATTCATTATTTTTTTATTGTCCAGACTATGCAAGGCTTGGGGACAGGGTAACACTTTACAGTAAGATACACAAAATGTAATTTACTTCTAACAAAAACCCAAAGAACTACCGGTAATAAGTGTCAGGATTTGGTTGTGGGTTGAGGACCCAAATGCAGAGGTGAGTTTTGTAGATTTAATGAAAGCTAAACAAACGACTGAGGCAGGAATCCAAAAAAATCCAAAAATCCAACAAGAAAAAGGTAAAACAAACCAGAAACCATGGAGACTTCAGGGGGAAACAATCATGACGAGTTAAGACACAGTAAGACGGTGTTGAACGAAGTTAGACGAGGAACCAGCACTGAGGAACTGCACAAGGAGAAGATTTATGGGAGACTGAACAAAAAGAGGACTAACGAGCAGATTGGGAGCAGGTGTGAACAGAGCAGACTGGGAAGGAGCTAGGGAAAAAGGAGAACACAAGAGGGCAACAGAGGGCAACAAATAAAAACCTGAGAACTGAAACATAACCAGAAAACACAACGAAATAAGAATTAAACCAATAAAACTAGAAAACATGGAGCAAAGTTAAACTGAATACTCAAAAGAAGATATAACAGAACCAAGACTGTGACAATAAGTAACTAATGGGCGGTTAGCCATTACGCACTGGGGAACACCCAGTCCAGTCTGATTATGGGACTACAGCTTAGTTATCTGGTAAACACAGAGTACCCTGGAGTCTTAAATTATCAACTTCTTACCTATAAGGCTTATATTGACAATTGTGTTAAAAACTCAAACATACACTGGGCTGCTTCTTTAACAATAAAACCTGTTTTTCATTTAAGGCGAAATAGCAGGATGTCACAGAAACATTTTTTATTGCTTTACATTATAGAGACTTGCTGTACACAAATCCTTCAGCTCCATGTCTATATAACATTTACTCTGTTTATCATGCTTCTCTGAATTTCATAAGATCATGAGATGTATTCTAGAGTGGGAGAATTTTCCTTTTCCACCGGACTGGTACTTTACATATAAGGCCATGCGTGGTATTTTTCTCTCATACATATGTTCTTTGATTACCATGAAAAGCGTTGCTTCCTATTCTTTGCATTCTAATAATTTGTTGCTCTCTGTTCCATTTGCATGGACTAAATTGGGTTAAAAAAGAGCTTTTGTTTACTCTGCACCTCCAACATGGAGTGCATTGCAAAAAGACTGGAAAATGAACTTTTTTCATTGAGCATTTAAGTCCAGGTTGAGAACATTTTAAACGACGTCGTCAAAATGTGGTTGTTTTTCATAATCTACCTGTTTACCTGTGTTTTTATTTTTTAAACTTCTGATGCCTCTTGGCCAGGACAACCTTATAAAAGAGCATTTTTTTTTATTTCAAAGGGTCCTTCCAGGCTAAATAAAAAAAATTAAATAAAATGTACAGTAGCCCCATGATAAGGCTGGGCTGAGTGTCCCCCTGTAAGAACTTGTTAACCGTTCCTCATGTGTTCCCTTGGCACTCTCTGGAGGTTAATCACATTTTCTGTAAAGTGTTAACACCTGACCACTAAAGGACGAAAGACTTTCAGCGGAACCTGCTCTGCTTCACAGCTATGTTCTGTGTTCATTTCATTTTGCTCTGGTATATTTAAAACTTTACCAGATATGCTGCATGTTGAGTTAATGCTGCAGTCCCTGATGATTGTGCTTGGAAAAAATTAACAAATTGTCAAAATCAAAGTTTAGCTTGTGCCTTTATTACAGCAAAAATATATTTTTTTATGTTTTCGGAAAAAGCATTAGTCCCATTGACTAAAATATGACCGGAGGAAATCATTAGATTCCATTTGTGTTTTTAACTCACTAGATAATAAATTGATATTGTCCCAGAAGGTCTACAAACCTCTTTCAAAGGATGTTGATGATTTAATCTTATTTTTTTTTTTTGAATGGTTTTTTGTTTGTTTTGTTGGTCCAAAAACATGACTGTTAGGTTAATTGGCTTCTCTAAATTCTCCTTAGCTGTGAGTGTGTGCGTGAATGGTTGTTTGTCCTGTTTGTCTCTGTGCTTCCCTGCAATGGACTGGCGACCTGTCCAGGGTGGACCCCGCCTCTCGCCCATTGACAGCTGGAGATAGGCAGCAGCACCCTTCGCAACCCCAGCAGGGATAAAGTGTGATGGAAAATGTATGAATAGATGGTCCTCTTCTGCTTGTTGATTAACAGTATGCATGCATGATTACGTAATCCTGGTCTCATGATGTTATCATGATAAAACAGAGATGGTATATTCACTAACAAATAGACCCAAAAACTTAATTAAAAACTAAACTTAATAGACAAATTTAACAAATAATTTGCTACACCTACTCTGCTGAGAGATGGTTTTTCCAGCTTAACAAAGATGGCTTCCTTAACCCCTCACTGAAACCATCTGTCTTAATTGGCCAGAATATGGACATCGTTGCCCTCAAACAAATGTCTTTTAGCCTTCAGGTGTAGGTGAATAGCTGAATCCTGTCCTGAGGAGTCGGCTTTCCTGTGTTGAGCCATGCACCTGTGTATCGCTTGCTGGGTCCCTCCAATGTACAGGTCTGTGCTCTCTTCACTACACTGACTGGCATTCAGTGTAGTGAAAAGTGACAAGGGACTAATCAACCCATCAGAACCACCTAACAACCAATAACACCCCCCAGGTGACCTTAATGGCCAATCCAGTATGTCTTCTAGGAAACCTTTTTGGGTTCATAGTCAATTGGTGACATCGTAATGCACATCTTGGTGTCCTTTGCATAGTCGGTAATTTCTGTTCATGTAGATATAAAAAAAAAGGGCCCATAAGGTACAACCTTTGGTGATGCCACATGTGTTTTCTGTGGTCTCTGATCTTAAGTTGCCTACTGACACAAAAAAACCCTGCGCTTCAAGTACGATTCCAACCAGTAAAGTGCTGGACCAGAAAGGCCAACCAAGTTTTCCTGACGCTCTATAAAACAATAATATTATTTAATGCTGTGCTAAGATCCAATACAAAAGGCTTAAAGAAACAAGAGCAGTGGAAAGTGAACCTTCAGCACAAAGAATACAACACTGATGCCTCACTTTTCAGCTTTTTATTTAGCAGAAGCTATTAAAAACCATGTATAGCATTTGGCCGTAAATGCTGTACAATAAAATGTTTCTCCAGTAAAACATGAAAAATTAAAGAGGCATTGTGCATTACAGTCTTTCAAGAAATCTAAATAAATCAAAGGTGTGAACTTACATTTTCAGTTACCTACATTAAATGGATCCAAGGTAGTCAGAAAACTCTAACTTGATCCTTGTTTAATAGGCCACATTAAAAAGACGTTAAAAACGTCTCAACAGTAAAACAACAGGGAGCAGACAAGTGTTGGAAAACAGGAACTGATGATCACCAAGGAAACACGGATGAGCAGGCTCAGTAATTCCTCCATGTGAATTAAACCCAGGTGACCTTAAACTACACACACAAACACACCCACACACACAAATAAAGAGAACTGGGAATAACGAGCTCTAATTGAAAGTGCCCAGCTCGCCTGTTATAACACCCTTTTCAAATGAGAATTTTGAGACGCGAGCCAATCATGATGCACTCGAGGAGCTTAGGGTAATGACAGAAAAACGAGGGAGAATCGACATAAAATGCCAGAAAATCTGCCCTATTTTACAGAGTTTGTACAAGGACATGAAGAACAGTGAGAGCAGAAAACATGTCTGCTCTTTCAGAAGAGATGAAATACGCTGAATAATTATGATAAAGAAAAAAAAACATGCATAGGATGTTAAAGATTTATTTTCTGATACTCAAGGACAGGTTTGCTTCCAGTGTGCTACTTTTCTTTAGGAAAACTAGGACGAGGCAGCAGTGTGTGTTGCTCAGTACCTGCTGGAGTATCAAGTTGATCCTATCCACTTCGCAGTCGATGAGAAAGCGTTTCTCCTGTCGGCGGTCCATCTCCTCGATGATGCGTCTGTACTCTGTGGGGTCCACAATGTTCCCAACCGAGCGAGCTGTCACCTGCCAGTTATTGGCTACAGCAGACTCCATTATGGCCTGGAGGATTGCAAAACCTTGGGGGAGATAAAGGAGGAAGAGCTCCGTCACTGAACAGAGTTTTTTTTTAAATTTTCATCACAAGGTTGCATAGAACTTGATGACACAGACTTAGTGAGGAACAAACATTAGATCTGTGCTTTCACATTTCCATAATATATTAAATACTGTCGGTTGGTTTGTAAGGAAACTGAGTCTTGCTGATGTGCTCCTTAAATTTTCTCAGATTTAGATGTTGTATTAGCCATTTGTTCCAGAACAAAACAAAAGTTGAATTTTGCTAAGCTTATATAAAGAAGTAAATTTTAAAGGATAGAGCCAAATTGGTCTATTATTGCGCTACTTAAGGTGGCTGCATGTCAGGTCTAACACCTAAAACACTGTAAAACAAGAAAAGAAATTCAGAAATTTTTTTTACTCGCAAGGAGAGTAGGAAGAGACC